AAAACTCAGGAAACAGTCCACCATGAAAAAAGAAACCACTATGGGAAAGGAACTGCTAGGACTCTCCTTGTCAAGGCTGGTATGTGAGAATAAAATGGCTCAGCGTTATAGATCGGTTTTTATATACTTCTCCATTGCACATGTCGAAGTCGGTGATAAAGGTCAGTGGCAGTTAATGGTGCCAGTTAACATCTTTCCCTGGAAAGCTAACGCCTCGCCAGGGGTGCCATCACTGCAGCCTTTGCGTGTTGGCTCCCCAGTGGAGTGGCTGTTGGCTCTGGAGGGACGTACATTTGTCACCCTTTCTCTTACCCTGCTGTTGGCACTTATTCCATCTCAATAGAGCAGAAGCATTTCCAAGCCATGTTTATTTTCTATACAAAAGAGGACAGGGAGGTGGCCCATTTTTAAAGGTGCTTTGGAGCAAGGGCGGCCTCTTCAAAGATTGAGTCAGTGGCTTTTAGGGTGGTGGCCTGGAGAAAAGGAAATAGAGCAGGAAGAAGGTAAACATTACTGAACAGAAATAGGTAAGTTCATAAGGTTACCTTAACTGGAGTTATGACAGTGATCGGAAACTTAACTGGCCATATGCTGCTGCTGTTTCATTCCCATTTAATTGCATCATCATTCTACAAAAGGCTCTATTTACCAGACTAACATATGCTATTAGACAAAGAGCGCATGCTCAGCGATTCAAATAATCAGTTGTCACTGAATTACACAATATTTTTACCACTGAATTCTAGCAATTTTATTCTTAAGCTAAAATGCAAGGGGTGGCATGGCTGTTTTTATAAAATGTATTTTCATCATACATTATATAGACCTTTTTTTAATGTGAAAGCTGCTAAGTTCCACCACAGCCATGAGTCTCTTACCAGAGTTGGCCGATAGGCTTTGAATGCAATGCAGTACCTCTAACAGCTAGCATGAATTTCTATTCCTTGAATATACATGAACTAGCCCTTAATGGTACATATATGGCCTTTTTTCTCAATTGCATTGGAGAATCTGGATTTCTTAATTTATTTTTTCTGTGAGTGCTAGCTCAAAGCTGGAAACAGTGAGCATACTTTTACTCAACTATTCTGCTGGATAGCCCCAGATAGTTTAGGAGTCTAATCAGACTAGTTGCTTATAGTTCTTAATCCTCTTTCAAAAGTGACCTACCCAAATTGTGAAATACACAGAACAAGCTGTTACAGAAATCCAGAAAATAAGTGGCTTTCTGACCCCACTCCAGAGCAGTAAGGGAAGTAAATCTCTACATAGAGGTCATTTGTCAGTAGTTAGTGACTTAGTATAGTAGTGAAGAAAACAGTGTTGTCTGTACCTCTAGAAGCTTAACTAACTTTACAGTGGATATTTTCGAGGTATGTAGAGCTTTTAAATTCTATTTGGTTCGTATTTTTTGTGACAGAGTAGCAGCATATGGAAGTGTGGGAAAAAAAAGCGCCAATACATCTTTAAAGAAAACAGTGCATGAAGAAAACTGAAATGTAAACTGAAAGCTGGTTAGTGTCAAAAATTTCCCTCACTGCTCTCTAGAGTTCTCTTCACAAAATGCATAGCAAATCCCGCAATCCCAGTAAATCAAGAAATCCTGGAAGGGGATGAAGCTGTTGCTCAGGGTGAGGAGCTGGACTGCTGGGCTGAGGTCAGCTGTACGCGATTCAACAAGGCCAAGTGCCAGGTCCTGCACTTGGGTCACAACAGCCCCAGGCAGTGCTGCAGGCTTGCGGAGGAGTGGCTAGAAAGCTGCCCAGCAAACAAGGACCTAGGGGTATTGGTAAAGAGCCATCTGCACATGAGCCAGCAGTGTGCCCAGGAGTATCCTAGCCTGTGTCAGGAATAGCGTGGCCAGCAGGACCAAGGCAGTGACTGTCCCCCTGCACTCAGCACTAGTGAGGCCACCCCTTGAACCCTGTGTTCAGTTTTGGGCTCCTCAGTACAAAATAGACATTGGGGTGCTGGGGCATGTCCAAAGAAGGGCAATGAAGCTAGTGAAGGATCTAGAGCACAGGTCTTATGAGGGAGGGCTGAGGGAACTGGGGTTGTTCAGCCTGGAGAAGAGAAGGCTGAGGGGAGACCTTTATCACTCTCTACAGCAACCTGAAAGGAGGTTGCAGAGAGGTGGGGGGTCAGTCTCTTATCCCAAATAACATGCAATAAGACAAGAGGAACTGGCCTCAAGTTGCACCAGGAGAGGTTTAGATTGGGTATTAGGAGAAAATTCTTCATTAAAAGTGTTGTTAAGCATTGGAGCAGGCTGCCTAGGGAAGTGGTTCAATCACCATCCTTGGATGTGTTTTAAAAGCTATCTAGATATGGTGCTCAGGGACATGGTTTAGAAGTGGGCCTGGTTGAGTTAGATAATGGTTGGACTTGGTGATCTTAAAGGTCTCTTCCAAGCAAAACAAATGCAAAGATCCTTAAAGTTGACATTACAGAGTAAAAGTTGAAAAGTGTTTTTATTTCCTCACAGAAACCATTTTACCATGTTCTCTAATAATTTTCTTTTGTTCCTCCTCTTCATTGTCATGGATCTCTAAACTCAAGATCAAGGCTTTGTTTTTTTCAGTAACAGTTTGGAGACTCCCTCTCCTCTTCCCAGTGAATATCTGGCTATTGCCTCCCCTTGCCTTTCTCACTACAAATTTCCACAAACGGAACATAATGATCTAGGTTTACCACAGAATCCTGCCAAGTGGCATTGCATAGGTAGGCCTGGCTACACAAACATCTCCCAAATCCTGGCTTCCGACAGGAAGAGCCTTGCATCCTGTCAGATGCATCCCAGTGATCCCAGACTCCACCAGCATCTTTTTCTTCCTTCTCCCAGAGAATCCAGGCAGTTGCATTTCTGCCTTTCCTTAGCTCAGTCAGGTTTTCAGGGAAGAGGCAGTCAAGAGGAAGGGGAATGTCTCTGCTTTGAGAGTCATCACTTCATCCCAACTGTGGTCATGCAAGGAAGGACACATGCACAAAATAATATGCCTAGACTTTCCCTCTTCCAAATCTTATACCCTCCTCCCATCCAGTTTGTAAACCACGTGATGTAATCCATAAGCAGAACTTCCCCAACACCTCATGATTTTTAAAATATGAAAGACAGGAGAGCCAGAATTGGTCTGGAGCAAGGTGTGTGCAAAATGCCCCCCAAAGGAGATGTAAAACTTAGCAAAAAATGTGTTTCTAATAATCTTCAACAATTTGGTACAAAGATCTGTTTATTACCCAACATGACAGAGTAAATACAAAGACAGTGTGGAATGTGATGTTTACAGGAAATTTCACTACAACATGCACAGATACTATTGCAATGTTATTTTAATAGTCCAGAATGTTAAGCTGAATAAATATTTCTTGCTTCAAAAAATGATTTTTACTTTTACATAAAAATATATAATATTGCACTTTTTACAAGGCCAGCAATTTTGCATATTGATTTGTAACAAATGGACTTCTACTTTATAAAAATAAGCCTTTGTGAACAACACCCCAAACCAGGGAGCACAAAAGCTCCCCAAAACCCACAATATTTGTATTTTTTGTCTTAAATAAAGCACATCACTTCAACATGAGCCAGGAAGCTTTTCAGTCTGTATTTGGACCTTACATTAACATTTAGACAATGAAAACATGACTAAAGCCATCCTATACAATGCTGCTACAATACACACAGTTCAAAATTCAATTCATAAGAGTATGGAGCCACTTGCTTAACTGAACCAAAGACCAGCCTTTGTGTCACAGACTATGAGGATATTTTTCTTCATTTTTTTTCTGGTTTGAAAAGTTCTTCAATTAGGAAGTTGCAAGAATTTCTGAAGACTGTTTAGAATTTTCAAAAGAAGTGTAAAGACTTCTTGTGTGCATGTCATCTTCATCACAACTCAGCAGTTTCATATATAGTGTTTTGAAAGATGAACCTTAAACATGAGAATGTAGAGCAGTTCGTCTATATGGCAAATAGTGGAACATGTCAATGATGAAAAAGCAAAGCAATTGAAAAGAAAAATGTAACTACATCAGACTTGTGTAGCATTCTTGCTTTACCATTCATGTGACTAGTAGGCACTCATTCCTAATGTCAGGTTTAGAGGTCTTCAAATCCATCAACCAAAACGTTAATTGTTTGATGTGGCCTAAGAATTCAAATTTAAGCCTTCCATCATGGAGGCTTATTTTTTCCCCCTTCAAAAAAATAGCACCTAGAAATAAATAGCATATTTGCACAGTGTATCTGTGTAAACTCGTCCAAATCATCTGATACCCACGGACATTGATTATTCAAGCAGTTAGATTCAAACATTTTACAGTGTGTAAGTTCTAGTGTCATGGAAGTTCACAATGACACTAGAACAGAAGCACATCTGTGCCGCCTTTAACATGTGTTTTAGGAGTTCCAGAAGATAAGCTCTGTGTGTATATAATATATTCTGCCACAGAATTGCAATGGCTAGTTGTTACAAAGTTAGGGAGTTAACATTACAATAAAAAACAAAACATGATCTAACTATTGCTTCATGATTCCATGAGGTGTCTACCCATCGCCAAGACAAATATTTTTGCCTGTTGTAAAAGCTATTACACTAACAGAGAAGATGGCAAAAAAGATAACAGAAATACAATTTTTCGCATTACAATACCATAAGATGGTGCAAAAAGCACCTACTCAGTTTTTTGCTTCTCAAAAAAAGCAATTTTAAGTGGTCTTGGAATTTTAAGTTTTGGGTTGCTTATCCCAGAGCTAGCTATACCACGCTCAACTAATCAGATTTATATATGCTAACATTTTAGTAGATATTTACAGAACTTTACACTGCCAATATTGTACAACATATGAGGGAGAATAAGCATTATCAATCTTTTTTTAATACTTCTGTCTAAGAAGCGATTAAAAAAAATACTATTATGTTTTATATTGCAGCATTTTGACTTGTATGTTAGAGCATTTATGAGTCACTTTGCTGGTATTGGAGTAAATGACCAGAGCTTCCTGTTGACCTGGATATGCTTCAAGTTTGTGCATGCACGTACCTAATTTTACAACCACCTTAGGCCACTCTTAAAAAATAAATCTATTCCGTCATTCGAGATACATTCAAGCTACTTCAAACCCCAATTAAATAAGAGATTCTATAATCTATTTTGGATTTAAAGTGCATCAGAGATATGAGTTAGCAGCAAAAAGAGTCATCACCCAGCTGCATAGCTGCTAAGGAATGAATAGAACATGGGTAACTTCAAGCGCTGCTGGTCCTTGCGACACCAGGCTATAATATTTCCATCGCTATTAGCTGTGAACAAGTGATGACCATCACAGGAGAATGTAAGGCTGAAAAACAAAAAGACAATCTATTTTTATATCAGATTTGGCTATTCTAAATGCTAGAAGACATTAAAAAGCTGTAAGAGTATAGCCAACAATGATAAGCTCTCAGGGGAGACCCTGTGAGTACATTGCCATAGTAATATCTTTGCATATACCAGCTTATTCTTTTCTGTAACCAAACAGGCTGAACTACAGCTTTGCCCAGCACTTGAGCATGGCACGCACTTTAGTACTTGTTTCTCTGCAGCGTCAAAGACGAGGGTAGGATTGGTAGGAGCATCCTCCTCTCTCCCTGGGCTGCCCCTTCTACTTCTGAAAGGAAGACTTTTCAGCAGCAGAACTCTGTGCCCTCTGAACTTGCTGACAAAGGCAGAAAGCAAATCCATCCCATTTCATAGCACAGCACAGGACTTTTGTTCAGCCAGGCATTTCTTGAGCTCTAACCGTCGTAAAGCCCTTCAGTCATGCCACGGGTAATGTTAGAGAGCATGAAGGTCAGCATCCATTTTCTGTCTCATTTAAGCAGGAAACTTTAAATTATTCAATAGCCCCTAAATCATTATTAACAAGCTTTTTGAAATATGCTCCTTGAAGTAGGTAACAAAGACCGCAACTGCTATCGGACAACACTTAATGTTTCTAAAGAATAGCAATTAGCAGTTTGGGTTTTAAATGATATTTCAGCAATAGTGAAAAACTTTCAGAGTGATTTGTTACTATGCTAACATTAAGATGATACATTTTTGGGCGTAACTTTTAAGACCTCTGTGCAGACTGCTGTACCGCTGGGGATATCAAAGACTCAGAGGCTTTGACTGTGTTCTGAAAACACTTTGGCATAAGAGTAATTCTGCTTATCATCAAGGGGAGTCAGAGAAAATTACATGAGCACTTCAAAATGGCAGCTTCCAGGCTCCTCTGAGTTTCCTTTACTCCTTTCTCTACTGTTTCCCTCCAGGATCAGGAAGAAAGTAGTCAGGAAAAATACAGCATTTTTCTCTCTCAGAAGTAAGTGAAAAACTCAGAGTCTGGCAAAGTTAAGATTATCTCATGATTTTTACACAGATTCTGGGGAAAAAAAAAATATTAAACTTAAATATTAAACTTATTCTTAAGAAGAGCACTTATTGTTCATTTCTCAGGGGAATCCTGCTAATTTCCATCTGCCAGCAGCAGAACCTAGTTATTACTGTCATTACAAATACAGTACATTTGTGCTCATTTTGCTTTCATGAATAATTAGTGGGATTGCTTTGCTCTTTTAGACATGGGTGTTTACCTCCTGTTCTCATGTCAAATCCACATTCAACACTCAAGGCTATTTTGTTGTGGGTTGGTTTTCTCTTTCTTTCCAAAGACAAAAATTAATTTATTTTATACTTAAGACCTTTTTACCTTATAATAGGTTTGGCTGACTTTGAAAATGTTATTTCTCGTACTGGCTTCAAGTCCCATGTACTCCACAGTCTGAAAGAAAGTAATTTTTCTTTATATTTAATTTTACAAATATTTGGGTGATAAACACAACCTGGTTAGCAACTACTAAGACCAGAAACTGAACAACAGCTTGTCCATCTTTTTTAAAGCCAAATATCAGCATGATGTTTGGCTACACACTCTCAAACTGTGAGCTTAAGGTATGAAGCATTTTAATAAACAAAAGTTTCAAATGCTTACCTTACAACTCCATTTTCAAGCCCCCCTGCAATCACGTTGACGGACACTCCTTCCGGCTGGTTAGAGAAAGCAACAGAGCAGATACTTTCCCTGCAGTGCACATGTCCCACAAGATCACCATTAACCGTCCAAAGCCTCAAATCGCTACCCCCTCCAACTGCAACAGAACATAGCCTGGGATTATTAAAAAAGAAATCTAGACCACAGCGAGGTCCAAGCAATAGAGTCTTGAAGTGTTAAAGAATTCAACTTTGAAGATCAGAAGGTTTAAATTACTCAGTGACATGTGCCGTAGTAAACAATTACCTCTTCCCTCCTTTTGTGACAGGAAGCATGCAAACCACCAAGCCACTACAGTGATTTAGAAGACCTCACTTCATATTTATGGAACACTGTACTTACAAAATGCTATAGCAATTGACTTGTAATGAGCAATTTTCATGTACTAACAGGGAAGCCATAAGAGGGAATTTACGCTATCTACTTTAAATAGCTAGTTCCTGTACCCTGGCTTTCATTTGAAGCAAAATACTTAAAAGCAGCAAGCACAGTTATTGTAGGTGATTATCTGGGATTATTTATCAAAGAAGCTAATAATCAGCTACTGCTTTGTTTTAAAAGGGATTGAAACTCATGTTCCTTACGAATCAAAGAATACAATCTTTTCCAGAAAAAAATAAACTGTTTGTGAGCTACAGAAGTGTCATTCAAAGTCTCCATGTAATTTAAAAAACTTTAAAACTGAGACTGCCAGAATAATTTCCTCTTGTCCTTTAATACTATAGACTGTGCTATTTTACCTTTTTTTTTTTTCCCTTTTCATTTTTTTTGCCCTCCTCAGATTCAGAACTATATTAGTTTCAGTTCAGTCTGTGGAGGACTAAAGTAAGAAAAGGTGGCTAAAACATACTTCAGTATTTAAGACCTATCTTACTCAAGGCAAAAGAGAAAGAAAATTCGGCTAAAGTGAGAACCAAGTCAGTAACTGTCTTGTAACAAAATGGATAAATGAAGTTATGCTCTCTTCCTTTTTATTCTGTACCTCCTTGGATCAATGGAACAATATTCTGTCGTTTAGATGGAGACTATTCCTATTCCCCCCAAGCCCAGCCTCAAGTTACCACAATACACACAGGTATCCTTATAGACAGCCAAATGGTATGTGGACTCTGGCTCGGCCCTGCTTTAGCAATACACAGTCTGGTAGCACACAGTCAATCTTCAAGTCAATGAGTATCCCAGTTATGAAATACACAAAAAGCCACTGCTCAAATAGGTCTTAATGCTCTCATCTGGAAACAGGTCTGTGTGAAAAACAAGAACGTACAAAAACCTGCTTTAAAATAAGATGGGGGAAGGTCTATATTTGCTTGTGGGGATAGGAAGCACTTAAACTGATAGAGCAAATAAAAATGCTGTTTTTCTAATACACTGTACTCCCCTGAAAAACTGTACCTTTGATAACAAATCTCTGTTAAAATGAAAGCAGCCAACTTCACAGAATTTAGGTCTCCCAGGAATCTGCTGAGATTTCAAGCTGTTAGCTATTATATCTCTACATTTTACTCAAACATCTGCCTAATAATTTCTGGAGAAATGTCTATGATCCTATGTAAAAAAAAAAATAATTAAAAAGATAGCCCTTCTATTTGACCAAATGTATCCTCAGATGGTGGACATACACTCAGGTAACTAGTTTAATAGCAAGTGTCACGATTTATTTGGTGTGCAGATCAAAACAGTTTCCTCAACCACCAAATATACCTGAATCACAAACTGTTGCAATATCACCAGTTGTTTCGCTCGCTGAAACTGCTGTCACAGGACTCTTGTGTCCAGACAGACTCTGGACATAGCACAGCCTGAAGAAAATAAGAGAGAATAAACCTAAAGTTCTGACTCAAACACAGAAAAGGTTCTTTGAGGAAAATAATTAAGTTACATTAATTTCAATCAGCAGCTTGCACTATGATGACATTTTTCATATTCATTCTAGAATTTCAACACCCTTCATGGCAGGAAAAAAAACCAGTAAGGGTCTGACTTCACATTCAGATCTACACAGAACAAATATAGTTAATTTAAAAAAGGTGAAGATGAACTCAAGGGATGGAAAACAGTAATTTATAAGAAAACCTTTGGAAAAAGTTAGATATATCTGTCCCTGTTCCATATATATGTACCTGTTTAAATCCCATATAATGCAGGTTCCATCTTTACTGACACTTATCATTATACTGTACGGTTTGCATACAAACAAGCCTGTTACTTCTGCTGTGTGACCATACAGATGGACTTGTGACTCCATTTCTATCTCCGAAGGCTGAAAAACAGTAAGATAAAACATGAACTCTTGTGAAAAAGGAAATTAATACTTTTTTTTTTTTTCTGAAAAGGATAAACCTAGGGACAAGTTTCTGAGATTTCAAAAAATGGTTCCCACTGCTTTTAAACGTCATCAGTTTATCAACGTTGTAAATGCTTTATTATGTTTAATGCTTTATAATGCAATAAGCCATGTGTATCATTCATGTTCAACTTTTTGCTTCCAGTGTTATAGACTAAGCAAACATTTTAATGGGGTCCAATGAACTGAAATGAAGAACTATGGTACTGCTTCTGTCTCTGTTACACACCTTGAAATCATCTGATTAGCTTTCTGCAAGACTGGTATTTCCACATGACAGCAAAATGACAGTCTCCAATATTTTAGCATCTAAAACAAGCACTTGGAAACAGAAGGAAAACCCAGCTAAGCAGTTATCACTCTCTGTACAGGAAATTACTAGGAATCTCTCCAGTTGGTGCCAAGTCCTTCAGTGATACCAAGTTAAAAAAAATATGCAGGAAGTGAACTTTAAATACAGAAACTGCTAGATAAAAATTAAAGCTGCAAATTTAACACTAAACAACACTTCTTATTCAAGTTACATCACTGGAAACAATTCAGATTTCCTGAAAACTAGCTAAGTTGAAGCAGCTGCTTAATCAGAATACTAATGCTTTAATTAAGACAACTTGCTGTACAGAGATCGGATTAATCTTTGTGAAAGAAAGGAACATTTTTCTGCTTGTTTCCTCAAACGCGTCAGAGCACACTGTCTGCATTTTTGTATGAGGGTACACGATGCACATAGCCCATCTACAAAAAGCTTGAAAATAAAACCAGACAAGATAAAACTATGCATATGCTTTAGTTTACAGAAAATTTACATGTCTTTCTGCACTAAAAGGGACAATATATATATATGTAACACTGTCAAAGCTAATATACTTTTGGTAACAGGAAGATCTGTTACTTTGTTCTTACTACGGAGCATCCCATCCAAGTAGGACACTTGGGAAATTATCCAGTTGCCATTCTCAGAACCATGTGGTAGTTCACCTGTGCAGATCCTTTAAACCTTGTTCATTGTAGAGGGAAAAAAAAAAGATACCAAATTTTTCCATAATAGCCACAATTGAGACTTCTGGGTTCCTGAAGAACTGACTCTGATGACCCTTTTACTGTGCTCCTCTCCTTTAAGTGTTTGCTGTTGATCATTTCAACACTTAAACTGAAGGCAGGATTTCCCTTTAGCAGCCTGTCTCTATATTACTAATAGCAACGGTTTAGTGATTCTTCACTGGGTTATTGTAGTGAGACAAACAGGAATTTTAGCACCAACTGTATGAAGGTCTAAAGTTATGAAATAATTACCTTAAGACCAAAACACCATCCCCTTTTTACTCCCCACTTGCTTCTAGGTGACAACCACTAAAACAGTATCTAGACATGGAAAAACATGCAGGTATGTAATCTACATTTAAATAGCAGGTCTTTTTGTTGATTACCCCAGATGATCACACCTGTGACACAAGTGGAAAATTTGTTATCACTGCACAGCTTTACTCAAATGGATCATTAAAGAGCTCTCTTTCTGACTATCAAAGTTGTCTTGCAAACAGACAGTGAGAGCCAGAGTAATCTGTAAAACCAAAAACCCTGAGTTGAGGTTTCAGTGAAGGTATGACTCACTGTCAAGATAGATCACAGTTTCAAAGCAGTGCTTCATTAGTTGTTTGACCATCTTGAGCAAGGGCTAGGAAAAACAGAGCATCTGAAGGACAACACAGAGGTATTTTTTGAATTCTGACATCATGCCTTCAAATTCCCATATCCAACTAACAACATACCTGTTTTATGCCTTTGCATTGAATTTACATAAGCATGAAACAGGGCAAAAAATTAATGTTTCAAGTATTACATTATAACAAACTGTTCACTTGCTCACCGAACAGCTGACAAGATGCATCCAGAACAGATGCCAGGAAGCACATTTGCATTCCCTGCAGCCCTGACTTGGGTAACTCAACAACGGGAGCTACAAAACTGGCACAAGGTCAGTCTGCCTGGGGCATGTAAAATTGTCAGTGCTGAGAAAATCAGCAAAGATAATCTCAAAGCCAACATCTGTGCAGCTGAATAAAAATCACCTGTTCCTAGGAAATGCAGGGAACTTAAGAATCATTACCCCACTACTAGTTTCTTTTTAGTATTGCAGAAGGCAAGTATATTGAATTTCTTTTTAGTATCTGGTGAACAAGTAACGTGCCTGACTTAAGAACCAACTGACTTAAGCTTGCAGGCTTCAAGCTCTATTCCATTTTTTTTAAACTCAAAATGCTGCTGAGCTCAGGAAATCTGAGTGACAGATCACCAGAATGTAAAAGAAAGCCAAGGAAGAAATCATCGTATGGTTGTGCTTTTCCCAGTCTAAGCATCTACTGCTGGCCACCATTGTAGCAGGTCATATCAAGGTTCTCTCTAGCCCATGCAGCGATTCAAGAGCATCAAAAGCAGTACGTTATCATAGATACATTTGCCAATACCTGTATCAAGCTAAATTTGAGAAATCAATTTACTTTAGCCGTTACTATGGGTAATCCTGTAGACACGCCTAAAAGGACCTGTCAAGAAAGTTGCAAACTCTTTGTTAAAACTATGACAAGTAGCAGTTACTGCTAGAGAAAGTCAAACAGAGGCTCAGAAACTCAGCCTGGACCAGAAAGTGAATTTTGAGTTCTATTTATGCTTTCAATATTATGCTTATTACCACATAGTATCAGGCTGATCTCTACTAGTATCTTCCGCTAATGCATTAAGTAATGCAAGTCACTTTTCTCCCATGCCTCCTTACAGCTTTTTCGCTTGGGGAATATGATAAAGGGAAGAGGCTTAGAGGTTAATATATGTGCTGTCTGAGGTTTCATCCCATCTCTCTGTGCTGTAAAGTGCCTTCTGCATTTGAAATGCTGTTTACTTTAGGGAAATGCATTCCACAATTTCAGTTAAGGCTTCGAAAGGCTTCCTTCACAGAAAAAGTTCCTTAATGTAGTGAGCTTCACTGTGCCAGAGCTTCGGTTCCAAGCCCTGGCCTGAATATAGTCAGAGCATATGTACAATCCATTATGCATTCAGATGATGAGGGCTTACTAGAAATCTAGCAGTATGTGAACAACAGCTGAAGAGAAACCCACAAATAAATATGCTGAACTAAATCTATTTAACAATGGCAAAAAGGATCCTTTCAAAAATAAAATAAAAATTCAAAATTTATTCAAAAACAAATACTAAACAAGCACTCAATCTTTTTAGCAGTTGTCCTGAATGTAACATTCTCCTTTTCTCACTTTTCCTGTTCAAGAATGTAATAGTGAATACAGCTAAATGCTTAAATATTAAATCCAATGGAACTTACCGTATTGCTAGGGAATCTGTTCATATATGCGGTGATGACACCAGATTTACTACCTGTGAACAGCTGACAACTGTCAGGCACCCAAGCACAACTTGTTACCTGGAAAAACAAAAAGCCAGAGAAAATCAGAACAGAAACTACTGTAACTGCTATTTTTGTTATGCCATAGCATTTGGTCAGACTGATCCTTTATTGATTATCCTAAGGAAATCCATGGAAAACACCTAAGCTAAAGCAATACAAGAGTTAAAATGTACCTGCTCTAGGTCATATTTATTATTACTTCAGAAACAAAGAGGGAAATCCTGTGTAGCCTAAAACTCACATATAGAGAACAGTGAACTACCACAGATTTTTAGATCTATAGAAGCATCATGAGCCAAAATCTTTTTGGTAGAATCTCACCAACCACCGCAGCCTAACAGAGATTATGCAGCATTCCCTAACAATCTTTTAGACATTCTTTTCAGAGGAATCCTAAATTAAAGTGAAGTTCTGCTTCTAATGCGAGGCACAATTGTAATTTTCCTTAAATGTAAACATTTATAAATGCACACCAATATGCCACAGGAGAGAAAAGCTGCAGAATTTAAATGCATGCAAAAAAGGTTTTTCACCTAGTACAGTAACACATCCAGGAACAAGATCCACTGGAGCAATGAGGGACACAGTCCAAAAGGGAGAATAATACCAATTAAAGACAGTTGTGTTTGGATGCTCATCTCCAAGAAGAATGAAAGGAAAAGTACCTACTGCCAAATCATGCCACCACTTAAACTAGCAATATTAAATTGAAGACCAAGAGACTGATTTTTTTTTTTTTTTTTTACCTGATGGAACTGTGAACTCTGTATAAAATTTACTGGAGGTTCACTTTGCTTGCTTTTCAGTCGTAAAATGTTATCGGCATATCCCCAGCTCAGGATAGCTGACCATTGAATATCAGTGCTGTGCATGCTTCTCACACCTGAAGCAAGGCATATAATATTGTGTCACATGTACAACAAGAAGCTGATCACTTTGATAGTCAACAATAAAAATCTCAATGCCACATTTTACCAGAAGCTAGAATACAAAAAACCCCCAAAGTTTCAGAAAGGTATTTTTTGTTAGGCTATGGCTTAATCTGTAACATATTACAAACATAGTTTTCAGAGGCTATGTAAATAGTCGGGTGTTCACCACAGACAGCTTGCAACCTAGACCAAGCGTTTTTGAAGAAATCTTGCTTATATTGGTAATGGAGAAAAGGGGAAGAGGCTGACAACACAGCTAGAGAAATGATTGTTCATAACAACGTTACTTTTGTTGACTAAACATGAAGATACTTACTTTTTAAAAATCTTTACTACATGTTACAAAGAAAACTAAAGAAGATAAGAGAACCAATTTGTATATTATCAGTAATAATCCCTCCCAGGAGTTTATCTGAAAGCAGAAAATCCTTCACCTCTGCTTTTTGCTAATAACTTTTCTCATTCTGTACCTCTAAAACCTGGTTCCTTTAATTCTCCTTGCTTTTGTCACATGTTCTTTTCATCTGTTCTTCATTCTTCTTTGACTGAATGTGCTGGCAAGTTCTAAAGTTAAATCCTGATAATTCAGTCATTTCAACGAAAAGACTCAACTTAATTATGGGATGCCTGTACGTAGTTTTGAAAATTACAAGGAAAATCGACTCTCCAAGAAAAACACCACATGTGGAAGCTGTTACTAGATTTATAAATCAATCTTTGGCAAATGTGACTAAGTCTGGGAAGTTCACTGGAGAATAATAGTAGCATTAGATTTGGTGGTTTTTTTATGGCTCATTTTTGTATGTATTGTGCATGTAGATAACAAATTCATACCTTGCTCCTTGCTATATATCATCAAAAGGCAAAATTTGCGGGACAAACCACAGATAGCTTTTGTTGGTAAAGCCTGGAGAGAGCCGAACCTTTCTCCATGTGGTTGGCTAAAGCAGACAACAGGATCTGGAGCGCTTGGGGAACCAACATATTCTCCCCACTTCAAGCCTTTTATCCATGGTAATGGACTCTAAACCAAACACAAATAAGGTTCAAATTAAAAGGGCATAAAAAGTTTTCTGAAAAATATATGAATGACTCTCCCTTGGTAATGAAATATTTCTGTAAGCAATCACATGGTAAAGACTACTGAATTATTCTAAAAATACTAGAAAGACAAGTATGAAGCACTGTAGTATTATCAGCTAAACTATTAAGGGAATACTCCCACTTCTTTAAGGGCTGAGATAGCAAGCTTGAAGTTCAGGTGGTGTAGTGAAAAATACCAATTTCTTTAAATGTAAGGATTCAGTTTCTCACTGAACTTTAGGGAAAACAAGTGTTTGAATTGAAGAAAGTTAAATTGTCTGTAGATAGTGATGGAAAAAAGCATAGTATGTGTTACCTACTATAGGTTTAGCTTACATATTCCAGAATTTATCATGGAAAGTATAAAACTGGTTACGCAAAATGCTTTCCAACACTTATTTGCTATGTATGATAAATATATATATAAAAACACAAATATATATCATAAATGCATGAAAATAATTTGCACTATCACTTTACTAATTTTGTGTGCTTTCTTTACAATATGGGTAGGAAGTTGCAGCTTTAGGAAGGTAACTGTAAACATAAGGGTACAAAAATTACAGCATATAAATGTTAATTAAACCATCTTGCAAGTCAAAATGACGTACTGGATATATTATTTCTTTAGTGTGTTCTCTGGTTTCTCTGAAAGCAAACTGCACAAGTAATCCCATGGCAGCAGGAAGTTCTCCTTCCATGATAAGCCTGGATCCAGGTCTGCTAACATGTGCTGCATGGAAGAGCTGGCGAGGTGTTTGCCCATAGGTTTTAATCATTGTTTCAAGGGCTCTTCTCTGAACAGGATCCTCAACAGCAGAAACATCCATCCCAAAATAGGTCTAAAGAGGAAAAAAAAATAAAGGGGGAGTGGGGGAAGGGGCAAGAATAAGCTCATCTGGTTTTGTCTTTGGGAAAGCTTCCTCAACACACACAAATTTAGAGGCAGACTCTCCAGGTTTTGGTTAAGACTTGGACCAGAAGCCATCCCAAAACAGCGGTGCTGACTAAAGGGACAATAAGAGTAACCTTGTCACCACTTCTTTATCAGAAATAACTACATTAAGATTTATCATGTGAGCTGCTCCTACAGCTTTGACTAAGTTCTGTCAAAGAGGTTTTCTTAGTACACCTTTATTAATCTGTAAAAAAACCAGAAGGGTTGCTGATGATGAAACATTGACATAGTACTCTGTACCTCTTTTTAATTAATATATTAAATTTCTGGTTCAGGGTGTGGAGGGTGGGAGAATCTTCATATTCCAGGAGAACAGAAATTCTTTCTTTTCCCTACTTGCCTTTCATGCCTCTCTACCATATACTTTTCCTCTGTCACACTGACAAAGGCCTTGACTTTTCACTTTAAAAAAAAAATGAAAGCACATAAACTTAATATTTGATAATTAAGGTAGTAACTAAATCAATACTTAAGCACACAAAAAAAGGAAAAGGAAGGAAAGCGTTTGGATGGCAGCTGGGGGGAAAAAAAGAAAAAAAGGCAGTCACCACTGCCAAACACTACTGTTTAATTAGCTCTTCCAGCTGTAGAATGAACACTAAATACATGAACACATTTGAATACATTTGAAAGCAGGACTGCCTTGCTGAACAAACCTTGTGATAGCAAGGACTGAAGCTAGAGAATGCAGTCCAAGATATGCATGTTACAATTCAGTAGTGAAATTCTGGAAGTCTTCACATTAAATGAAGACTCATTTAAAATTAGGTTTACTGGAGGGGAAAGTGCTCATTAGAGGGACAAAACAAGATGCCTATGAAGGGAAGACCACAAATAATGAGCTCAGGACAAAATGAACTATTGTACTTATATCAAAAGCTGCAGCACAATCTGCCTAAATGAAACACTTCTTTGAGGTGGAAGCAGATGCACACAAACATACCTGTACACCACTGCAAACAACTATCCAGAAAGTCTAGACCCCATACCTGACCATCCCCCGCACCTACCTCCAGGCAAGAAAGAGAAACACAGATTCACTAAGTCCCACAATAGGCCCTGGGATCTTATCAGTTCTGCATTGAAACGGTTAAAGCCGTCACGAGCAAGGGATCTTGCTTCATACTGGATGTTTTCCAAGCAAGTCAGACTGAACTTTCCCCCATTAAGTTACTAAGGACAACGAACAAACTCACTGCTTAACAAATACTTACTGCAGGGTGAAAGACATTAATAGCCTGAACAGAAGCTTTGCCTTTTTGCTTATAACCAAACACCAAGTCAATCCAGTGACAGATTGTCTGGGAAACGTGGTCAGACTCCAAAGCCTGACGATGAATCAAGATGAAGAGACGAGGATCGTTACGAGCCCAGGGTGGAAGATTCACATGGTTAACTCTGTCACCATTTTGCCGTACTCCAAAGTCAAAACCTAGAAACGGGAGTAAATGTTCCAATATTTTAGTTATCATGCAAATGGGAAAAAAAAAAAAATCAAGAAGTTTCTCTGCACCTCTGACAACTATGGAAGAACTTCCCATAAGTCCCTGGAAATATTCAAGGCCAGGTTGGATGGAGCCTTAAGCAACCTGATCTAGTGGGACATGTCTCTTTCATGGCAGAGGGGGTTGGAACTAGATGATGTTAGAGATCCCTTCCAACCCAAATTATTCTATGATTGTATGCAGTCCTACATAACAGCTTTTTTAGCATACCCTACAAATTAGTGCCAAATTTATCCCATCCATTTACTACTTGGCATCTTCAGTCAAGGGCTATACATGTTCTCAGTTTCAACCCATAGACTCAAACACACAGCTGTTTGGGGTATATAGTTTATATAGGTATATATCGGTATCCTCTTAGCATACCTTCTCTGTTAACTAGGAAGTCAGGAAGGTAGAAAAATTCTGGGATAAGCTCCTTTACGTCAGTCATCGATTCATATGAAGAGAGTCTCCAGGTCGTATTGGTAGAATGAAAAGTTCTGTCTGGGATGTCAAAACTTTGATCTGTAAAGAAATCCAAACTGAATTAGTTACATCCATGATGGCATATCTGCAACTTCAAGTAGTTAACTGCTCTCAGAAGAATTCTGAATACTCTCAGCTGCCTCAATTACTGTGTGTTACACCTGGACTGCAAGTCAAATACAGGTCAGTTGTTTATTCTACATAGATGAAGGTATAAACGTAAGAGGTACAGCTTTATGGTCTAGTTTGATAAATTCAGAATGCGTCTACTGTGAAAGCATACCAGATTTAACTTTACTGAACACAGCTATCTGGGATTCATAAAATATGCTAAACAGAGTAACATAGAGCATTCCTGGGTCATGGCCCAGACATGAAAGGCAAGCTCAAGCAGAAGTAAACTTACCTTGATAGGCTAAAAACATTTTAGTAAAAGGTGGCAGCCTAACCAGGAAATGAAGCACAGTTCCACTGTTGGAATAATGAGATCCATAGTGATATGGTTGTACAGGAGGCATTGGGTCATCCTCTCGTGCTCCTTTCCGATACTCTTCTTCCAAATACTAGAAAAGTAGCAGGAAAAAAAAAAAAGATCACAAAGGATTATGTGCAGTACTTGGGCACTTGAGGGAAGACAGCTTTTCTGTTATCAGGCAGAAAGAACAGTCACAAGTTCCACTGAAGTAATTTCAAATAAACAGCAACAAGCTATCATCCTGATCTTCAGGGATCTTTAAATATATGTATGTTCATATGTCAGAAGACACCAATTTAACCTCCTCAGCAGTATCACATGAAAAGACTAAATTAATTATGATTTCAGGTACAGGAACAGACAAACACAGGTTCCAAGAATGGTAGAAAGCGATTCACAGGAAACACAGCATACTAGAAATGAGCATTCCTTAGAATTTCCATAAATTTTGTGCTTTCTTCCCCCTGCCATAAATATATGTTAAAAAAAATTAAAGCCTTCATATTATTTATACACAGGAAAAAGGCAAAAAGCAAGAGTTACCCAATTTACCTTATAAGTATCCACATAACGATCCTCTTTTTCTTTAGACTGCACAGCTATTGGTTTGACCAGATTTCTGTAACAGAAGTAATAATGATAGCTTGTCACTTTTATAAAAACGCTGATTCACACAATTTAATAATGCATTACTAAGAATAAGGCCTTCAATATTATGAAAAGGGCAAACAAAGCTTAACAGCACTTTGCATGAGAGTTCAGAAAAATAAAAAGGCCACTTTCAGTTAGCGCTAAAGGCAAACTCAGATCCACAGGATATCCCACGGCACAGCAACAGGCAAGCAAATGCAAAGTGCCTCTGTCAGATCAGCGGCATCATATAAGGGGAAAACCTTTGTGCACACTAATGTTAAATGTGCTTAACAGAAATTTATTAGGGTGGGTGGGATGATTCACTTGGATCTATTCACAATGAAGACAATAAGATTTTGTAACTGGCCAAATAGTTTACAATGTTTTCTATTTAATTTTTGCTAATTGGCCTGGAAGTTTTTAATTACACTGATTTAAACATACAGCTTTTATTTAATAGGATATGAATAGTCCACAGATTTAAGACAGTATATAAGTCCAATTCACAGCATCCTTTGAATATACACACACATAAAACTAGCCATTTTACTTAAATATCCAAGGTGAAGCAGCCACTTACTGAAAAAAGCCCAAGTTATTACGGATGAGGTTTGTCCCTGCATATTTCCACTCATATGTGTGCAGCTTAGTACAGTGAAGTTAAAAAGCTATCCTGGATGATCATTTCAAGTATTTGAAAATAACCAGTTCCAAACATTTCATATTACCTATACACAGATGGATCATTTAGGTCCAGCGTTTCACTGGTGTAGTCAGAAAGTATAAAAGGAAATACAGGATATTGCATGAGATCATTGAAGGAACGGCCAGCATGTTTGTTTAAATGAGTCAGATACTCAAAATTAGTAATCTGTCCTGTGCACCACAGGTGGGTCAAAGCAGTGATGTTTCCATATTCCAAAAGATTAGGCAAATTATTAGTTAAGATGTTGTGGTACACATCATCACGGACCTGGAAGAAAATACCACAGATTTAATAATGTAATTTGAAAAGCTTCAAACTACCAAGACTTAGTAAGTTTCTCTCATTTACAATTTTCCAGATACCTACTGAAATGGAATCATGTTTATTATTACTGAGATTCTTTAATGTCTTAATACATCAGAGATGTGTTTTACAATGTGACTGTGTCTAGAAGTCTAGCTGAACAAAGTTTTTTCACGAGTATTACACAGAATTTAATTAATCCATGCAACAGGTCTCTTTAAAAACTAATGCATGAATGTACATGTTATGAAGACACAGCAAAATGCTTTGATATATTATTATGCATCAGTGCCACATTACCTTTGTATTATCAAAAGCCAAGAGTAAAGTTCTGCCATTTGTTAGAAATATTTCCACAGCGTTGTCTCTTAACTGCCACCAGCGCTTATGAACTTCCTTAATTTCCTCATAGGTCCAAGAAAATGATGCTGGTTCAGTTTCTCCGTGAAAACTCTGCAGAATTTGCAATCGGAAAAGTTATTTAAAAAAAAATACATCTTCCTGATGTGGCCAGTTCATAGTCATATGGCATATCATAGTAAGGCAAACTAATTTTGCTGTGATGCTTTAAGACACTGTTGTGATTTTCTTCAAGCATGTTTCCCATGCTCCACTCTCCTCAAGGCCATGGGCAGATCATCATGAGTGCTCCTCAGCTGCTCCAGTTGCCTATCCAATACTAGCCTACAATGCCATTATTTTCATTTTGTCTCTTAAGCTAAAATGTTGGACAGCCAACCAGAGCAAGCAGGACTTTGCCACAAATCTCAATTCTGACAGTTCTATAAGGGACAAAGCAGCAAGATAGCTGCTGGTAACTAATTGAACCACAGGAGCTGTGGGCTTAGTGCATACAAGGAAGAGCTCCCTGAAAATAATTTAAAAATTTCAGCTCTATAACCCATATCCTGATTTTTATTTTTACTTTGTATCTGTTGGATGTATAATCTTAAATAATACATCAGAGCCTTTGTATATCAGAAGGATTACATCGGTTCCAGTTTCCTCCATGAAACAGTCCTCTCCTGTATAGGATAAAGAGGAAGCAACAACATCCTGTGTAATGGAAACTTAAAGAATCAGATGCTGTAGAGTACAGCACAATTCAGAGACTTGTGAGTTTCTGTACTTCCTCGTGCTCCAGCTTCCAGTAAGGCAAGTTATCTCAGGTGCAGACGAAAGCAAGCTCTGCGCACTTATGCTGATGAACTCTGAGCAAGGTGCGTAAGCAACCTCTCATCACCCCCTCTTTACTCCCTCCCAGCTCCAGGCCCACATCTTTTGAGTCCTTTGCTGTCACCACCAATTCCACAGCCAGAGACCTCAGAAGCAACACGGAACCCAACCTTACCAGTTTGGCTGGCCTGGCCCACACACCTCTAGCTAGTACCCTGAGAGTCCTAGTGGCAGTAGACAAACACTTCTTATGGTCATAGTTTGAAAGAATTAAAGTTGGACAATATGCTCTAATACTTACTGAATTTTCAATTGTGTCTGAAGCATTGTCTTCAACAAAATACATGCCACATTTTCCTGCAGGAAAAAATAGTTGCAAAAAGGTACACAGAATTACTGCTTGTATAATGCACACCCCAGTGTTGTGTAAAAAGTGTCCAGGAGTTAAGAATACAAAGAATAGTACCTGGGCAATACAGTACTTGACAGAAATAAAATTTATTATTCCACATCTTTTAGCAAGTGGTCTGCAACTTTAAAACTTAACTACAGTCCAAACAGCTCTCATGGAGACAGTAGGGAAGAAAGGCAAAAACCTGATCTATAAAGTATGTAATCCATAAGAAGCAGTTCACTGCTCAATTACTTCAAAAAATGTCAGCCAAGTTTATATACACAGCAATCTTACACATTATACAAAAAGATATATTTATGAGGACTGAAAATTCTACTTACCTAGCAACAGTTCACCAGCAGTCTCTCTAGAAGGTGCTACGCTTATACACCTTCGATTAACTCTGAAATATTTTAAAGCACATTATTGCTTATGGATTTATGTACCTTTCAGCACATACCTAAAACTAACAGCCTCAGACTACAGTTGAAGAAAGACTTTTCAACACCATGACTGCAATGGTTCAAATCCTGACGAGGGCAAGAAAATAGAACCTCAACTTTCTAGACTTACACATTAGTGTATTTGTATTTATTTCTTTGCATCTTCTCTGAAGTTATTTTAGTCAGTATTAGTGCCTGTAATAGGGAGTAAATTGACACAACTGTAGAGTTGAGTAACACAATGGTAAAAACAGAGGATGAAAACAGTTTGCTTTTGAACACTGATGGAAAGACCTAGCAGATGTAGTAGCATGGCCTGTTTTAGATGTCTAAGTGACAAATAAGTAAAGAAATCTCATCAGGTTATGCCAGAGAAGTCCTATCATCATATAACACCAGATAATATTTGCTTTTACTCATTTTTGAAGTCATGGAGATACTGTTTCAAGACTTCAACAATTTACATGTTGGTAGCTCCAATCTTTTGAGTATGAGTATAGCAAAAAACCTATAATTTTTTATATTTGCTTCATCTCACTTATTTTTTTAAAAAATATTTACATAGACAAAAAAAAGTAAGAATTGTTTCATGGGAGAAGTAGGTGTTACCCAAATCTTACCTTATGTGTTCACTTGCTGCTTTATCTTTTACAGTAGAAGAGTGAGAAGAATGTGTTTTGTCTTCAAATAGGTAAGATAATGGAGTTTTTATCACACCTGTAAAAAACCCACAAATAATAAGGCACCAGTAGTCATTACAGTTCAACTATACTCCTGGAAGATGTTATCATTACCTTCCTGTTTCTGCCTGTCTGGAAGAAGATACTTGTTTGGAATAGTTAGGTAGCACCTCTGCAAGCGGCGCCTCTCTCTGTTTGGGCCTTCTGTTGGATCCAGTTGCCAAGAAGTCGGGTAATAGACTGGGTCATACCAGAGCGCTCTGAAAAAAACAAAATATGTTAGAGTTTGGCAACAGAAATAGTTTATATGCTTATGCATTCTGTTTTTTCTTTAAATTGTAGAAAGCAAAAGATTCACAGTAGCACACTGTGAAACTTATTTCTGAAAGAGTACCAGAAGCCAGAATTCCGTAGCTTATTTTCATGATCTATCCCACTGACTGACTTATGAGCTACTACTGTAAGACCACTCTTGAAGTTACTAACTCTGACGAAAACAGCAATACAATGCAACCAATACTTTATTTTGAAAACTCAGCTGATGCAAACGTGACGTAATACTAGCTCCGCAGTGGTAAAAATATCATTGCTTGGTTTCCTGTCAAGACTTAACATCTTTTGCTCTATGTGGAGTAGAATTCAGTGTCTGAATACTAATACAAACAACAATCACTCAAAAATGTTTTGTTTCACCAATGTAATGCATTCTTCATTCTGTTAGGCACAAGCAGAATGCATCTGACAGAAAACCTAAATGGTGTAGAAATACTACTTGGCTACTCATCCTAAAAAACCAGGAGAATAAAATTAAGTCTTTGACAGGGCTTTAACCCTCAAACGATTAGGAAGAGTAAGTAATACTAATTTTACGATCACTTATATTTCATGTGCCTCTAAGTGGAACGTCAGACATTGAATGTGTCTCTTGATTTTTTCACTGAAATGAGAGAACAACTTACCGATCATGGGTAAGCTGCTGAACAAGCTCCTGCCAATGTCTGCTGGCACTTAGCTCTGCCTTATACATCCCCCTGATGTGCTGGATTACTTTCTTCCTTTCCATTCCTTGTGACAGAGACACAGCTTGTGTGATGTCTCCAGCTATTTTAGAAATGTCTTTAGATTTCGTATCCAGACGTTGAAAGAGACTGAGGAAAGAGTTGTGGTTTAAAATGTCAAATAAACACACTGAAAATGGAAGGCAGGACACCAAAACCCCTTATAAAACACATTCATTTTGGCAGGAGATATCCACAGTTCTTGTTACAGCAGATGAACAGCAACTTAGCCTTCACGATTTTCAGTCTCATGAATACCTTCTGCTTCTTAGCCGTCAAAAAAGCTGTTACTTGTGGCCAAAGACAAGACAGGCAAATCAGATGATCAATGGCTATATACTAGCATGTTTTACTTATTCTATATACTCATTACAATAAAAATCTGAAGCAAGAACAGTCATTTACCACTGCTCAAATCTCAAGTTATTCATCATAGTGAAGTCTTACTGTTTATCTGGACAGACATGACTAAGCTGAAGTCTGCAAGTACTACAGTTGCCTACATTGAAGCATGTCATGTGCACATCTTGGACCTGATTTTTATGGCAAATTTTATGAAATGTACATTAGTGGAAATAACATATGAGTCTATCCCAAGCTACAGAAATTTACATTACGCCAAGTAGAAGCAGTCTATGTAACTCACAGAAGTGTTCAAATACTGTTCTGAATATAGTGTTATTTTATTCATTGAAAATCAGTAGTTAGCTCCAAGGACATTGGCTTTATTTAATTGCACAGACCACAGCAACAGGAGAGGTGATACAATAGCTGTAAAACTAAGGGTGAAATGCCAAATGTGCAAAAAATGATTCAGTATTCTGAAGTTCACACGATGCCATTTCTTATACAGGCTATCAAAATGCATATACCTATAACAAACCCATTTTTGTAACGGTAAAGTAAAATTTGAAAAACACCACCATCTATAACAATCACAACAGGCAACTTTGCAACGGGGTGTGCTGAAAGGAGAAGATTCTTCTAGAGTTCTTGCAAACCCCTTGAAGGCAGTACTTACTTTTGCCGATTATTGGACATGGTCTTCTCCCAAGCAGCTTTGTTTACACCTTCTTCCATCTCGTATTTCTTCTGATCCTGAATGGAAGTTTTATACATTACTTTTTTGTTTCAGGTGGACAAAAGAAAGCAGAGGCTAAAGGATATGCCAATTTAAAAAAGAAAGACTGACAAAACTGATCAACTGATATCTTCCCAGCATTTAAAACCATCAAGACTTCATTTCAATTACTTCAGTTTTATTATATATACAATCAAAATACAATTTTACTTTTTTTTTTTCCAAGGAACCATAACAAATATTTTTCCTGATAATGAGACACACCAGCAGGTCATTATGAACTCCCACCTCTGCCAAGGTTAAGTAATATGCTTAACCGAAAAGCATTAGCCCATGAGCTTGCTAGGAAGTGCTGAGTATGTGACAGAAATATTCAGATCCCAAAGAGAATCCCCAAAGCATAAGCTATGCACCAAGCAAAGAAAACCACTGCCTAGAGTCAAGCTCTGAACCTCATATAACAGAAAATTGCCTCAAATCTAGCCAGGTTTTGAAGTAAAGGTTTTACTCACAAACCTCTTTCAAAGCTTTCATTAGATCTGGTTTTGGTCGCGGGCTCAGGGGAATGCATTTATAGCCACAACATTTCAATGTATTCATAAAGTCTGCTGCTGCTCTTTGTTCATCTTTGGTCATTTCGTCACTGTGATTGTGCATTAACTCATATAAATAGAGCACTAATTTCGGTCCATGCTAGAAGATGAAAGCAAGAGAAGACAGATGCATAGTCATTCTCATCTCCACAATACAGCACTGAGCAGTTTTTTCCTCCATTCCCTTTTCTAGTCAGCCTGGACAGAGTTCTCCTAATTTGCCCGATTTAAAGAAAATAGCTACTTTAATGTTTGACACCAAGCTTTCATACAACTAGAAAGAACATGCTGAATTTAATCCTCCACATGATAAACCTTTCCCCAGTATCTTGTGACTTTTCAAATGGCTTACATGAAAGCTAAGTTTCTTTCCCAAGTGCTCAGCTCCTACAACCTTATTTATACTTCAGGAAATATGTGCCACAGACTCCTAATTTTGCCTGCCAAGAATGCTACACCTTGTTCGATTAATTAGAGTTGACAGATAACGAAGCTAAGCAGACACAGGCCATAAATGCACTCAACATAACACTCCCCCAAAGAACTCATTGCTAGTGTATCAGCTCTTCTCTTTCTGGTGGAAGTGTTAATTGACTAATGTATACATGATCAGAAACAATAAGTACTTTCTCTCCTTAGTACATAGTTACTTAAACTGTGGCATGTCTTGCATAAATTATTTCATGCTTGTAGTTCCTGAAGATCTCAAAATAGCAACATTCATACAAGATTCCTGATCACAGCTCTAAGAAATACTTGCTCAAGCTTGCACTAGCAGGAGTACAATTAAAAAAGCTTTTTCCTGACAAATCCAGAAAAGCAGGGAGAAATTGTTCAAGTATTTGACTCAAGAACATGTAATACATCATCCCACTTTAAGAATTAATAAAGGCTAAACAAGAAAAGTACTGCTTTGATTGAGAACTGACTGCCTCTTAAAACTCTAGTGGCAATTGGTTCTCACAAGTTTCAGGACATCTGCAGTTAAGAATCCCAAAGCAAGGATAATTCCTTCTTAATCTGCTTTTTCAGGGTACCTTGGCTTCTAGCACCCTCAGTAAAATTCTTCATGTGAAAACTAGTAGCACCTTTTGTTTCTGCACTACACAGAAGATGTGATGTTTGATGTGCTACAGAGCTGACACATCCAGACATAATCCTATCATTCTCTTACAGAACTACCTACCCTCAGGATAATATAGGAATTGCACAGGTACACGCAGGCATTTTGTATGACATAACTTTGTCATTACACTAAACATTGCTAAAACAGCAGTGAACAACTTCAGCCATATACAGTTCTAAATAATTGTAAAATCTAAATTAGTAAAACATGCACTCCATTTTTTTCACTTCACTCAAACACACATCAGCTTACTTGCAAAGTTGGGCTTAGACAGTCACGCATAATCTCTTGGTGGTTTACTTCATGAATCAACTCCAAAGCTTGCTTTCTCTCTTGTAGCGGCCTTGAAGAAGACAAGTTGTGCACAAGAAGCCTCCCAAGTTGTGTACGGAATGTGTCCTTACATGACAAGAGGATTCTCTTCCACTGCTGCTTTGGTGCATTCATTCTGCTCATGGCCTAAGAAAGAGACACAATTTTTTATTACTACAGGGTTAGGGCTTCCTTTTACCAGAATTTTCACATTACAAAACAAACACTACTGTCTTACATTTTGATTCCATTAATTAAGATTTCTCTTCCAAAACAAAGTGTTTATTTTTAACTTATTATTATGGGTTAAAAGGTGTCCTACTAAAAATGAAAGAAGAGTTTGCTCATTTTAATTCAACAAGCATATTTTTCTCAATCTGCCAATATTAAGAATGCAGCTCTTAGCTAAACTGACCATTCAGGTTAGAGGGACTACACAACAATCCAAAAAAAGTGAAAATTATGATGTAGAGGGTTTAAAAATCAAAGGTTTCTTTTAACTAATAGCCTTTCTATGCTAATCACTAGTTTCTGAATGGATTACCCCAAAATATTAAAGACCAGACATGGAATTGAGGTGCTTGTGCTCACAAAAAGAAACCTGCCGTATTTGAAAAGTACTACAATATTAAAGTATTAGCAGAATTTTGCAAAATGTTAAGTAAAAATCAGTTGAACAGAGTTTGTAATGCTGCAGCTGAATTGAGAGAGGCAGTAAGAAAAGCATTTATGGACAGAAGACTTTATGCATGAAAAGCTCCTAATAAAGGAACCTCGTGAGATACGATGTAATGTGGATAACATCTAAATACTTACAATGGACACTTTGATTCCTTCCACCAACATTTTGAACATTTCTTTAAGAAAAGGATTTGTTCTGCTGGGCAGTTCTTGCTGGCTTTCCTCTTCAGGAACTTCCAGCTGGGATGCTGAAAGTCTGCTTTGACTTGTGTTTTCTGTTATACCCAGAACATCAAGGCACTCTTCAGTAGATGCTTAAAATTTAAAAGGCACATACAGATCAGCACCATCTCAAGCAAGACAATCCTATGCTCCTTTAGTTGGCATTATTTCCCTTGCTTCTATGGTATTTGAACTAACCCCCCTAAAGGCATGACGTCTTGCTAACAAACACAGCCATTTCATAGAAACATGCAAGCTGAAGCATTTTAAGAGAGCAGATGCTCCTTTTGGCATAGTTAAAGCTTCAGGTAATAATTCAGGCAGTTAACACATGAATGGACTAACATAGAATTAAAACAGCTTGTTCAGTTCATTCAGATAAAAATTGTATCCAGATTGTCAGTTACATAACAGTGAGACAAATCACCCAGAGGATGTTTCTGTGGTTAAATCCATTAAACTAGCATCAACGGTATGACTCTGCTCTCAAACATTTTAAACAGTGGGAAAGCAAGAATCTATTTTTTCATGTAGCATTACATATTTCTGTCAAAGTAGAAATGAACAAAAGAGAAATCCTACCTAAATAAATGAGCCTGTTAACAGCTAGAACAGTCAGCCTCTGTAACCTTTGAACAAACTCAGTCTCGGTGGCTTGGACAGGATTTTCTTGGCTCATTCTCCGCTGCATCATCATGTTGAATTCCTCACTTGCTAGCGAGCGCATTTTCATCAGCAGAGCATCAGACTGAGCAAGTGAAAATTTTCTGGAGCCTTTAAGTAGAGAAGCATTAATAGCATCCTACTAAAGTTCACAAAAAATTAATCACTTGCAAACTGCTTTCATACAAAGAGTTCACATAATTTAAGGAAACAAAACATTTCAAATAGATTAACACTGAAAGGAACATAAGTGTCATCTGGATGTTTGTCTCTTTCTTTTAAGAGCTTTTCTATTTGAAAACAAATATATAAATTCAAGGAAATGAGTTTGTCTCAAGATCACATTTGTTGTACAACTTGCATATTTTTGTGCAGATTCTAAAAAAGTTACTTTCATTATCCTAATTACACAGTGAAAAAACAGGAAAGTATTAAAAATTAGTATTATAAAAAATTTTGTATATTGGAAAGGAGCGTTGTTAGCATAAATGGTCAGTTATATTAACAGCCTATCAATAAAACACATTTTGTACCATACCCATTGTCACTAATTTTGGCAGAAGTTCTATTTCTAACTTAAAAGAACATTCCTTAAAATCTTCTTGAATTTAACTGGTGGGCCTTGACTCTACTTATTTTAGAAATAACTTTTTTATTTATCTTTAGCCCCTCACCAGATTCACTTACACAAAAACTATTTTCATTACATTTACTAGGCTGATGGAGAGCTGACCATATCAAGAGAAACATTCCCATAGTAAACAGGGAATAATAGTGGTTTGTTTTTTTAAAAACCCCCACTTTCTAATACATCTTCAGGATGATTACTAACTAAAAGTAATGTAATTCCCACATCATAGCTCTGTTACAAGTACTAAACTTTATTTTGGTATTTCCCTACTGTGAAGTTAGCTATTAAAACCACTACAAATTATTTTAGAAAACACCTTTGCTAATAAACTTGTGAAGAAGAAAATTCCAGAAGAAGGTAATATCTGGCTTTAGACACTGCGGTAAGAATAAGGTGACTCCACTCTCTCCTCCTAATACAAAAACCTCACAAGTTAAAAATGTGTATAGGGTACACTATTCTAAAATATATACACACACGCATATATATATATATGTATATTAACTTATAAAAACAATCCATGAAAAAGCAAAGCAACAGGACTCGTTTGTTGTATCAGTGAAATTACAGTTTGAAGGCAATTCATACAGGAGAAAGTACAAGACTACTACAACTTCTGCTACTCACTAGCAATGCCTTTACGCTTTTGAAACATTGTGCGATGAGGCGCAGACGGTGATGGGACTGAACCGGCCTGCTCCTGAGCATCTTGGTTTGCTGTAGTTTTTATTAATTCAATAGCTGCTTGAAGAACTCTTAACTGCAGAACAACTGCCATGTCTGCAGAGAGAGGTATACAAAGGGCACACAACATTCTTTAGACATCCTGAAGAACTTTTACCAGATGTTTGTAAAAAGTTGAAAAAAGCACAAAACGTGTCGAGCTGTAACATTCTTGATTCCACAGAAGTCGCCTCACTCTTCCACAATACACAAGTGAGTTCTCATGGAAAAGCCATTGCATTTGGTTAGTCTAAAAAATGACACTAGATGACACCAGATAGCAGTTTTCTATTTGAATACCCTTAATGAACCTTTACAGTCAGTTTGTTCAGATTAGCAGTACATAATTCTTTACCACAAGGCAGGCTCCTGAGGAAAAATACTACTGAGAACCACTTGGAAGAGATTCTTTCTCCAGCACCAGAAAACTCCCCGTTATCCATCAGAAGGAATATTAATTTAAACAAAAATCACTGGGGAAAGGAGTTACTCCTCCAGTCCCGCGACCCCAAAAATAAGCAGATAACTTACTTTGCATCCTTGCATTTTTACTGTTTTGAAGATGGCCCAGCAGCACAATGAGGTCTTCGATAACACGAAAATATTGAGAACCTGAGGAGCTGCAGGCATGAATTGCAACCGCTACCAGCAGCTGCTGTATATCACATGCAAGTAACTTGTAGTCATTCAAGGGAATGCTGCAAACAAAGTTGTAGTTACCAGAAACATAACAATTCTAGTAGATTGTAACCCATAACAAGACCCATTACTATTCCCCTTGCTAATTCTGCTAGTGGTATCTAATATCATATTGCACTTCATATAAAAATGTTGCTGCTGAAGGCTAGAAAATTATCAAAACACCTCTAGTGTTAACTCCGTCAGATTGGATGCCTGCAAATCTTTGAGACATCTCTCCTTCCTTCACTGTGTAACCTTTCTACTTTAAGAAAGAATGTTTGCAATTCACAAAGTCATTTAAGTTACTCCAAATTTCAACTATTAAAATCACAGGCAGCACAGGAGAGACTTTTCCTGCAGATTTGACATTGGCTACAGAAACGACAGAATGCTACCATCTCCTGGACTTTTATCCTATTGCTCAAATGAGTTTTATTAGGAAAAAAAAACAAACCTAAGTGCACATAGTGTGACAAACTTGCATTTAAAAACGTCATTTCACTTGAAAGTTTAAGGCACATACAGAACATTTTATATTCCATTGTTTGAACTGAGTATCTAAACATTAGCTTTCACTTTCAGGTATTAAAACTAAAACCCTCAAATACAGTCTTATTTTGTACATGCACTTTGATCATTTTACAAAGTAGACCAAATGGAATATGGTAATTTTTGCTAGACTTAAAGTTGTGTCTGGACTATTTTACAGCAACTGATACAATACTCACTTTGTTTCCAGTCCATTGAGAGCAGCCAGTGTATTACATAACACGTAGAGCAAGCCATTATCAAGCAGTAGGTCTGCAACTTTTGAGCAGGAATTTATGATTTGCAGCAAGAGGCAGAAGCAATTATGCAGCAGACCATTATCATAAAGGGAGTTCTCTATAAGACCCAGAACAGGAATGACACACCATTTTTGAAAGAGTCCAACATTCTTCACATCTTCTAGATCAAATCTGTTAACACAAACATGAGTGAGTGACATCCTTAAAAGAGCAAGCTGATGCATGCAACTGAGATAGTCTATACCAGTATTTTGACAAATATGGAGATGGCAGTTTCCTACATTTTGTTACAGTAATGAGGTCTGTCTACTGAAGAAAATAAGAGCAAAATAAATACTTCAGACAGCCACAAGGAAATGAAGTATCTAAAAAGTGTATCTGAAACTTTAGCTAGCTACCAACTGTCTACAATGCAGATTTAATGAAAACTGAAGGGTTTTAATCAGAAAAATATGACACATCATCTTTCCAGTAATAAATATTACTGGCACAGACGCCATCAAGAAAACAGAAACAGCTTGGCATCAATATAATAATACCAACTGACAGCAGGTTTGGTATCTTATACCCATCACTGCTAAGATTTAATTATGTTTGGCCACTTCTGGTTTATCGTGACTGTAGAATTCAGAACAGTGCTTCAAACCTTGTGTTACTTGTGCAGTAAGATACTGGATTACTATTGGATAACATTAGAAATGTTATTAGTCCATCATGACTATTACACACAATCCTGAAAACCTGAGCCATTAGAATTACCTTTCCAGTCCCATAATCAATCCTTAGGAAATAACAGTTCTCTGCTTTGTAGCTATTTAAGTAAGGTTTAAGTCTTGCAGTTAAAAAGGAATATTTTGGGGGGCAGGGGAATGGCTGAAGATTATGCCAACAAGCAGAACTAATTTGGCTATAAATCCTGCAGAGGCAGCAACTGAGGAGCTTTTTAAAAGATTTTTGCACTGCTGACTACCCCTTAGATGCACATTCTTCCTGTAAAATCATTAAGTAGCCAGACTAATTCTAAAAAACATCATTACTTAGATAATTGTCTCCTTAAAGGTAGTCTCCTTTCCTGTCAATATGTGGTTGCTCTTTGGTTCAAGGAAATGGCATATCTCTGGGATTTTTCCTAAAGGAAATAAGGATTTAAACTCACGGTCAAGTCAAAGAAGCAGCTGTAGCATCAAAGTTTCTCCTTTATCACCTACCAAAATCTAGTAGAAGTCTAGTGACCACTAAAAACTTTGAAGGATGTAACCTGGAGTTTCATTTAGGATCAGAAACAATAGGAAGAATTAAACTTATCACAGGACATTTGAAGTGCACAGGCCTCTGAGGCCCTCAGAAGGGCTAAGGGTTTAAAAAAATCCATCTGACAGCACTCACCAGATGAAGCTGCTTACAAGCAGCTATAAGCTGCCACACAATAGTCATAAGAAGTTTAATACATTTAAATGCTAACGCTACAAGCAAAACATTTCAAAACAGTTTTGAAGGAGCTTCGTATGGTTGTTGAGTACCAGGAAGAGAATAGGAATTAGAAAGCCATCATATCCTTGCCTCCAGCAAAGTACACTGCTTGTAGTTCAAATATTAAGTTACAGGATGCAAGAGCAAAGCACTACTTACTCTTCATCCAAGCCAACAGAGCGGCCAAAGAGCATTTCCAAAAAGCACTCTACAACTTCCTGAGTGCCCTGGTGAAGGTACAGCTGGTTGGCTAGCAAGGAGAAGCCACGATTCTTTAAGAATTTCTCCTTTTGCTCCCTCCTTGCTCTGTTGAAATATGCATCCAACAACTAAAAATAAATGCATAATTACGATGTAAGATTTAAACATTTAATATAACTCCCTTGAAAGTTCTTATCTGATTTGAACAGTTTGAAATAAAAATGTTTACAATTCCAGATTAAAACATCAATGGCATTATTGCAATTGCAATCTACACTGTCCTTGTTAGAACCAACAGCTGACTTGATTCTTTTAATATGAAGACTCTCAGGTTTTTAGTGAAGTTTGGGGAGATAAAAATCACACGTAACAGAATATATACATAAACACATTCAAACTTTTTGTACTTGTTAAATTCTCACTTTGGTGTGTATGCTAGTATATGCACAATTTTGGGGGGTAATTTTATCAGTAAAGCCATGTAATCTTATTCTTCTTGAAAATAAAATACAAATCTACTCCAAGGTTTTCATCTACATAATGCTATCATCCAGGAACATTGTCCTTGTCAATATTACAAAAATTCTCTGAAAACATTTTGAAGCCTCAAGTCCATGTTCAGGCCACAAATGTGTGGAAGACTGCCCAGAACAACTGAAAGTCAACTGTGTTGAACTTCACTTGCATTTAAATTAAATATAGTATATCATGTGTTTAATGCTGAAGACACGCTCACCAACTTTACATTAGGAATGCTGTCATATGCTCCTAAGGCCTCTGGTGTAGATAATAAATTATATTTCTCTATTGAAGGATTCTACATTTGTGTTGTTTGTTGTTCGGGGAGGGGGTGTTTGTTTTTGTGGGTTTTTTTAATCTGTGGGGGTGGAAACATATCTTAAAATTTAGAAGTAGATCTGGAAAACCGAATAAAGCAAAATAGAAAATTTTAACAAACCTTCAGTGTTTCCAGTGTGTTAACTATGCTAGTTCACAACTTCTTAGCTGAAAGTGTTTTCTATAGACTTACTTTAATGACTCCTTGCTGTATGAGAGGAGATGGGTGGTTCACAAGAACTATAAGATAATCAGGTTGGATAAGTTTGTCCATCACATCTTCTAGCATGATATCTGGTAGGATTAGGAGAACTCCACGCAAGAGGTCATATAATCCACAACAGATAACCACAAGATAGTCTTCTATACATCTGAAAATAGAGCATTATGTTTTACCATAATTTCTTGCCTACAATAAGAAACATTAAAAACTGCATAATTGTTAGCTACTCTCAGAAGGAAATCTGGCAAACATCTTTCCAATACTTCTATTACCATTCTTCATTAACACTTGCATTTGGATGGCAGACAGCAAAAAGGATAGTCTGACCAGAACTACTTGCTTGAGATATTTTGTGAGCTAGAATAACAAGTTCCCACTCCTATCATAGATAGAAAAATTCCAATTTTTAACATTTGCTATGTAAATAAAGCAGAAATTGAAATAACTCTATTCTAGAGGCTAAAAGCTTAATGAAAGAGTTTGATAGCCACTGCAATATTGTCTTAATTTTCAGACTTCTAATTTTTGTAGAATAGTTACCAAGACCAAGAACTGGGAAATTAAAGCTCACATGCTGAACTACTGCTAATTTATTTTTTTTGCTTACTTGTCATCAGGGCTTTCAGATGGTTTTTGGGTATTCTCATTAGCTGAAGAAAAATCAAGACTCTCCCAGTCTTCAGGAAGTACATTCTTGTCAGCAAGGCTTGGCCAGCGAGCAATGGCTGATGATCCTCCGTGAACAGAAAATGCTAAGCCCAAACCTGCAAAATTACTTTGACTTTTCTGAAATGAAGGCAGTCCTTTCAGATTGTCTGGACGACGTAGCAACGGCTCATCTGCAGCACCACTGCCTTCACTACATTTCAGGTCTGCATCTGCTTCTTTGCTCTCAAATGCATTTTCAGATACCTCTTCTTCTTTTGCAATATTTTCAAATGTTTCAGCAGGTGTTAACTCTGAGTCACAAACTGTTTTTGCAGACTCACAACTGCTAAGAAAGAGTTCTTCTTGTACTCTCTTTATGGTTTCAGAACTTCCTACAAAACCAGTTCTACCCTGGAGATCAATGTAGTCACATTTGCCAATTATCTGCAGGTCATCAGTGCTCCTTCCCATAGTTTTGGTTAGTCTTTTTTGATGAAGTTGAGGTGAGGAAGTAGGAGATGCTGGTAAACTTTTGCAAAGCCTCTTAGGTCCTTTTGAGCTTGTCTTCTGCTGTACGCTAGCCTTGGAAGTGTTCCCTAGAGAAATACAGACATCATTAGTATTTTTTTTTTTTTACACGAGAAACAAGATTTTGCCTCAATGTTGCGCTCCACATACATTTAACACAGTGATGACCCAAGCTAATTTTATGTGGCAAAACTTATTTAACTGCTGGCATCTCAGATTTGGCTGATCAAGTAGAGATACTAAACTATTAAGCAACCATATATTTAGAAAGTAACAAATCTGAAAGATACATAAACTGCAAAGTAATTTTTCCTGATACAATATACTCAAGTTTCAGGATTTTCATTAAGTTCCTCTTCACTACCCCTCAGCAGAATTTGTACAGAATCATTGAGGGTAGAAGAAACATCTGGAGGTTGTCTAGCCCAACGTCCTTGCTCAAAGTAAGGTCAAACAGAGCAGGTTGCTCTGTTTGGAGCTATCGTGTAAGATGTCCAATCTACCAACATGTTTCAGTGGACAGTGAAATACTATTTACTAACCCTTTTTCACTGTGGCTTCTCATGTACTTGAGATTTATAACAAATCACTGAATATTTTATTTAACAGGGCTTCTTTTTAAGTGCACATTTTGACCTGAAACAGTCAAACTTTCCAAGCACATTACAGATGTCTTCCAAAAAATATATTTTTAAGAGGGAAATCAGTCTGTGTACCAGACTTGTAGAAGAAGCGTTCTGTTAGTCTAGGAAACAGATGTATTTTGAAAATTATGCATCAGTTAGTACTAGTGCAATGATGAAAAGTCAAGATTTTTTTTTAAATGAGATACATAAAACCCGAATATAAAAATACATATATATACATATATATGTGCAAACACAGCCAGACCAAGCTGGCCTTCAGACAACACAAGCATCTACATAGCTGCAAAAATTTTACAGCAAAGCTTGCTTGCAAGCACATTAGCAGGCAGTGCAACAGAACTGCAAACCCACATGCAGGTAGCAAGTTATCTAACAAGCATAATATTTAAAAAAATGTATCTGAATTCTGAAATTTAAATAAAGAACCACAACACTCAAACATCTGTTTTCACAAAAATACACGCTGAGTATTCCTCTGTCACACATGAATAATCTTCATTCAAGAGCAACAGTAGGGTACTACTGATATAAAAGAATAGTCAGTTTAGAAGAATAATATTTCATACATAATCCATATGGGAGAATCACAGAATGTTTGGAGTTGGAAGGGATCCCTAGAGATCACCTAGTCCAATCCCCCTGCTAGAGCAGGATCCCCTAGGGCAACCACACAGGAACACATCCAGGTGGGTTTTGAAAGCGTCCAGAGAAGGAGACTCCACAACCTCTCTGGGCAGCCTGTGCCAGGGCTCCGTCACCCTCACGGTAAAAAAGTTTCTCCTCATGTTGAGGTGGAACTTCCTGTGTTCTAACTTAAACCCATTATTCCTTGTTCTATTGCTGGGCACCACTGAAAAGAGATTGACCAATTCCATACACAGTTTAGTGCCATGGTCTTCTCTTCATATCACTGCTTTTACTAAAGACACTTGAACTGACATTATTTTGACTGAAGTGGTGCTTGAAGATTCACTTTGCTTTTCTAGAGCTCAGCAGCGACAAGACAGCAATCGTAAAAGGTATTAAATTGGTGATATACAGAATATAGCTGTCATACATGACCAGAAATATATAGCGACTTAACCAAAGTAATTTGTTTCCATTCCTATTTTATATATATGTAAATTTGCTTAGATAATGCATTTTTTATTTAGAATGTGTTTCTTGGTGTCAATGAGTTTAAATAAGTTATATGTTTTAGCTTCTGTTAAATGTTTTAGCTTTTGTTTTACAGGTGATATTTATTATACAAAGATGTGCATAGGCAAAGTATGATTAAAAATCTAATTCAATAATGACACAAAACCACACACTGACAGCAAGCCAAATGAAAAAATTTACCAGCTCACACAAATAACTTCACACTATTTCAGCATCTATAGCAGAGGAATTCAAAACCAACTAAAGCAGTTATCTTTATAAACCTCAGTGTGTTTAGCATGCTACTCGGTGAAACTATGTCTAGAACACTGCTCGATTTTAATTTATATAATCAAAGTATCCAAGTTGTTCTTTATAAGACATATGTGCCCATCCTCTATCATGTAGAAACAGTATATATGCCTGCAGTATAACTAAATGTGGATGCTTTAATACCATATTTAGATGGACATTAATAAATATGCACAAATGAAGAAAAGCATCAGCTCAATGCTTTTTGCAGATAGGATAGCTGCTTACTGCTCACTATTTCAATTATTGCGTTCTCATAAATCTCTAGCAGATCTGTTCAGCACATGAAATTGTTCAGCTATTTGGTCCACTTCACTGCCTGAGCCATCAACGTGGCAATTTGTCTCAAGTGGAGAACAAAAAGCAGTTTAGGTAGCATGTTCAATTCCATCCTCCTCACTCTGTCATTCAGGCATCAAGCTCCAAGGGGCAGGAGGAGCTTTGTAAGAAATATCTGTGGGAAAGTAACACTTTAAGTCACTCTAGTCATCTGCCAAAAGACTGTCTTAATATCCATTTTTCCAGCACTGTTTTACCTCCCAGTGGTAAAGCTGCAAATCCAGTTGGAGATGTAATCACAAATGCAGAACTGTCTACGGACTTCCCACCACTGCTGGTATTTCTCATATACCTAAGCGATTCAACTTTCTCCTGAAAAATTTTGCCATCTAGAAAGAAAAAATAAGGGGGAAAGTTACACAAAAGCTTTTTAAGTTGCATTGCTGATATATTTAGACTTGTAGTAGCCAGGCCAAATTTCAAGCTCATTGTTGAAGGCTAATGAGAAAAGCTCAAATCACAAGCCTCTCAGAAAAAAAAACACTTGAGAATTCTTTTGTTTCACTGATATATCTTTAAATTTCCTTCAGAAGACTGAAATATTATGATGCTCTAAAGTAATTGTATTTAAGGATAGTTCTTGCTGACATGCAAGCAGTAATAACTTTGACTTTTTGCCATGTCAAAACCAGGTGACTATTCTCAAACAGGTTCAAAGTATAAAAAGCATATTCTATTCTTAGACAGAATTTTACATCTATTGGTACAGATACAGCTAAAACCAACTGCCTTTGCAACTGTTTACTAAAACTGGAGGTACATGGGCATCTGCAAAAGGAGAAAACACTTGAAATTTGGATAATGCTTTCCATGGTCACATAATTTATGAATAAAGTTGTATAATGGTAATATTAAAGCATGAACTACACATCTAATAGTTTTTCATCTTTTAAAAGAACACAAGAGAATTTTTAAAACTCATACGACTCATTTCACCAAGGCAATCATCCAGTATGGAATAAAGACAGCTGTTGTCCTAGATCTCCACCCCTCAAAGCACATACGTACTTTCAGCAACTTGCATACAATACACTGGCGGTGCCTGCCAATGACATCTGACAGTGCAACCAATTATTTCCTAAAACCACTCCTCAGGCCTTGTATTTTTCTAGGAATTCGGTAACAGAAAACTAGAAAGTAGAGATGGAGACAGGACCATATACATGTATTTCTGAAGAAGCTTCATTTACAGGTTACTTTCTTCCCTCGGGTTTGCCCAGAGACAGATGTGTCCATATAAGCAGCTAATATTATGCATTCCATTTAAAAGCATCAATCTTTAAAAGAAGTTAAAGAAATAACCACCAGAGAGATTAGCTATGGCTGCAGACAGAAAAAGCTCTCTAAGCCAAGCAAAGTCTAACTATGAAGTCTCTCAATCCTGTCAACTACAATAGTTCTATAATTATTAATATATAGTTATTACGACATAGCAGTCAAGGAATATATTCACAGAATAGTAGTTTATGAGAGAGAATAAGAGGTTTTCAGATATTAATTTATGTCTAGATTTAAACTGTTTATTTCTAGCTAAATATGATATATCTACCTATATGCAGGGAAAAGTAGAAGTTGGTAGGATTGTGACACACATAGGTATTAGTGGGAGGGTGAACTGCTAAGAGGAAATTGAAGACCAGTGTCAGCAATTCCAGGTCTGGAGGAGATCCAAGCACTTCTTCAATTATTTTTACAAATGACCTGCAAACCTCCCGAGGCAGGTATGCAAGGTGCCCTTCTTTATGCTCCTAGAAAGAAAGAGCAGAACAAGTTATTTGCATTTTTAATTTGACAGAAAATGTCTTTTAAAAAAGATGTCATGCCATAGTAGAATAACAGACAATAAAAATGCCTAAGTAATTAAGCCTGTATTCTTAAATTTTAGAGGCACTAGTGCAGCTTCTCAGTGCTACCCAAGTGCAGCACACTCAAAATTCAGGAACAAAATACTGTGGATGCTATGCAAGGTTATTTTCAGAAAATTAACATCTACATACTATAGTACTTTGACTTGAAATGCTGGAGGAGCTTTAAGATATGAATCACCATTGAAAGTGTAGTTTACTGTCACTGTATTACATACTTGCAGAGATACTAACATTTAAAGCATAGTAACAACTTTCTGAACAATGCTACACTAGGTCTTCTGTATTTGCACTCCAATAGCTATCGTTATAAACATACACCTCTGAGATTCCATTGATAATTATAATTTATGCTTGATCAAGTAATCTATATAGTATGACAATGACTGTTTGAAAAAATATATTAATTGAACAATGATTTTAGATCAGGACTTCAAGAAATATGTGGGAAACCTCACTAATGTAAGCTAGTGATTAACTTGTTCCTAACGTCTTTAAAATTTCAACACTTCTTCTGGTACCTAAACACTTTAGCTGAGACTGTTGTACAAAAAGATTAAATGAAGTTAATTTAAGTAAGGTTTTATTCCCTAAAAGGTACCAAGTAATTGTCGGCCAAGTTTAGTTTAACTAAGAAATTAATTTTTTCCCCCAATCGGTGCGTATATTAGTGCTTGTATTCATGCAAAAGACAGCGAAAATACTATGTAACCTTCTGTGTCTAGGCATAGACAGTAACACAGAATTTTAAAAGTTAACTATACAACTAACAACTTCCAAAAGGAGGGAATATCACAAAAGTGAAGAAATTAAAAATTTACAGCAATTAAAATGATTAAAAGACATATTAAAAAGAGTCATTACGAGAGGGAAAAACAATAAATACTGTTCACATGTTAAAGTGAAAACCCAGAAAGAAATGAATGCAAGATAGAAAACAGTGTGGAAAAAAGGGATTACAGTGCACATTTTCACAAATGTATATATTCATCAGTGATCTGGATGAGGGATTAGAGAGCACTGTCAGCAAGTTTGCTGACGACACAAAAACTGGGAGGAGTGGTTGAACGCCAGAAGGCTGTGCTGCCATTCAGAGAGACCTGGACAGGCTGGAGGGCTGGGTGTGGAGAAATCTTATGAAATACAAAAAGGGGCAAAGAGTAGAATTTTGCACTTGGGAAAGAACAACGCCATGTG